GGCTAGTCTGCCGTATATCAGATGCAACGATGGGACATGGTCAAGCACTTACAAGACCAAATGCGAAAGTAAGCTAGAAATAATTTGCTATATAARTGGCCTTTCATAATCACCTCTCTTACAGAACGTCTTTTCAAAACAAGCAACTATGAAATCATTTTCACATATGAATTTGATAAGTTTTTAATTGTTCGTGGGAAATTAGAACGCCGTGATACTGAAGTTGCATTGTAAAATTCAATTGTACTTTCAATAGCGTTTATGCAATTTGTGTCAAAAAAAAGAGTTAATATGATACATAGTTAATTTTACGGCCGTGATATTCAATCGACTTGTCTTTTAAGTAGATAAGAAACTAGTTACGATTAAACCGCAAAAGTCCTCTAGACCATTCTTCAATTTAYCATTTTAGGRATCATCATATCAATCSMAAGGTCGTCATCAGATTGCGGTAAACAATACGTATCTGATGACCCTCCAAGTGGCGAGTTCATGTCCCAAGGATATCCTTCACAGGAATACACAGCAAAYAAAAAGTGTACCTGGAAAATCGCGTCCAACACGCGCATTGGTCTCTATTTYAAAACCTTCCAGACAGAAAGTTCCTATGACTTYGTGAAGGTTTATGATGGCGAGTCCGAGTCTGCCACTCTAATTGGTAGTTACAGTGGCAGTTCTTTACCACCGTACATCACAAGTTCGTCTACAAAACTGTTCATAACGTTCACCTCAGACGTATCGAATAACAAGAAAGGTTTTGCTGCGCATTTCGATGGTAAGAGATTTTGAGGGCTATTTTCTGGTTATATATTCAAACAATAGAGTACAGACACTAAAAGCGTGCAATACTTTACACTATTTACTACAAAATAGTACTAATAAAACCATAGAAAACAATAGAATTAGCATAATTTAGCGGTATTTAGTGATATTTATGTTGCACAGATTAAGTGTTTATATTCTAAACTTAATTTGCTAATAACTTTTAATTTGTTTGCATGACTGTATTGAATTGTTTTTTTAATTTAAGACACAAACTAATTGTACTTATTTTAAAGCATGGAGGCCATACAATTAGTATGCTTGAGCGAAACAACTGCAAATCCCAATGTTTMCGGATTTTTATGTGTTTTTTGTTTTTATAGCAATTGACAGTGGTTTTATGCGGCTTGCCGATGGAACACACAGATCAGGACGTGTTGAGATGTTTTACGGCCAAGACTGGGGAACTATTTGTGATGACTTCTGGGATAGAAAGGATGGTGACGTCGCATGTAAGCAGCTTGGTTTCCCAGGAAGCCTTGCAGCACACTCGAATGCCAAATATGGGCAAGGCTCCGGTAAAATATGGCTCAACAAGCATTTCTGCAGTGGATCCGAGTCCCGCATACTGGACTGTACTAACCTTAAAGCAAGTCCTTGGAAGAACCATCTCTGCTCACACAGCGAGGACGCAGGCGTCGAGTGCCGAAAGAGAGTGAGACTGGTCAACGGTGGTGCCAATTATGGCCGAGTCGAAGTGTACCATCAAGGAGTCTGGGGTACAGTMTGTGACGACAAATGGGACATCCAAGATGCAAATGTGGTGTGCCGTGAACTAGGTTACTCCAGGGCTACCTATGCTTACAGCRRWGCTCACTATGGTCAGGGGACTGGGCCGATTTGGTTAGACGAGGTRGCRTGTCTTGGGTCGGAAGATTCTATCACCTCCTGTGGCTATTATGGTTGGCTGTCACCGGGMAATTATGCTTACTGCAGCCATGCTGAAGATGCAGGGGTCAGATGTGTCTGAAGTARCTCTATAGSCAAAMRCTGATKATCTTAAAGAGCCATGATYAACCATGATGCACCGCTACCCAACCTCGATTTCTTCACACACGATAAAGTTTGATTTTGTGTATCTTTTAGTTAAATCAATTTCTCTATGTCGATTTAATGTAAACTTATATATAATATTTCAATACTTACAATTGCAGATTAGAGTGGTTCTCATTAACCCGTGAATTACACTTTAGCGTATTACACTTTATTACACTTTGTCTCTTTTGTTTTCTATTATATTTCTTGGCTATTACACTTTATTACACTTTGACTATTACACTTTGTTTCACGGGTTAATGAGAACCACTCTAAATGTAACGTATAAAGAATGATTATTTCATAGCATGAAAATACTTTAAATTCTTACAAAATAAAAGGGTAGCTCGTGACGGTTCATGGTTGGAATGGCTCTTTAGCTGCGCGAGACTAAAAAAATATGTTTTGTGTGATTCGATACGTCATTACCAAATTATCTTTATCAATTACTTCATGATTTAGTTCTGGTTTAGTTATTTGYTGTTTTAGTGCATCGCATGGGGGAAATAAGTACATTGATTACCTTGACAACCAATGGCATGATTAAACTCCATTACTATAAATAATACAGCCCGTATTCCTTGAGTAGGAAAAACGCCGCAATATTTTGAAATCAGAGTGAAGGCGAAGAATTTTGCTTGATCGAAGTTTCTAGTTTTTTTTCCATTCAAAATCCATTGTTTGTGAATATAAAACAATTATTCATTACATTGATTTAATTATTGCATGTGGTGCTTACAATACTAGCCATGTTATTTGGTTATTGATTTATTGGGAAATGATTCACTTGTAGTTCCAGTAAATTTCTGATGTGATTAAAATTGAATAAACTTGTGAATAAACATGTTGTAAATTGATCTATATAATATATCTATTATTTGATCTAGATTGAAGTACCCATGTGCTTTTAAGTTTTTTAATCATGTATTTTACGTGTAATAATCAAATCAATTTTCTCTGACAATATTTTGCACTCTAACCGAGACAGTAAAAAACCGAGCCAGCATCCTTTATCACAAAAACATGACTTACAAGAAACAATAACTTGGTGCATTTTCATTTTTATTTGTCTATAAACTCTGATCATTTTAACCTTTTATTATTGTTTTGTCTGGATAAAATATCAAAATTATCCCTAGCAAAACAGAGTAGCCGTAATCCGTATTTTGAAAGATTTTTTTTGGCATAATCGATAACTATAATTTAAGTAGAGCAGAGTCACATGAACCATGAAATAAGAACTAAAAAGTACTAACTAATAGGGACTATTAGTTCCTAATAGTCGTTAGCACTGAACCAGAACAGTTATCCAATAAGCAATACCTAAGGGACCACTTTAACAATCAATGTAATCTCTTTGTACTGTTCTGGTTCAGTGATAGTGTCTAAATAGTGCCTATTAGCAACTAAGTATTTAGTTTCTATTTCATGGTTCAAGTGACTCTGCTCTATTGTGACTTAAATAAACTATAAAAATTATCCCTTGCAAAACTGTGTAGGTTCAAGTACCCGTATTTTCTTTTTTTCAATCCAATGACTTGTTTGATCATCAAAGCGTACTAGATAATAATATCTAATAATTCGTTTAATGGTCCCAGTGTAGTACTTATTGCCTTCTGGTGCCAATACTCTTGTGTCACGTGGTAAGTTCAATTGTTTATTAGGGACGTCTAGTACAACGTGTGTCTTTGATATTGTTTTGAGTTGATCGTCGTGATGGTTGTCATCTTCTATTTCTAATTCAACCTCATTGTATGTGTCATCGATGGTTTTTACATATGATTTGCAGTAAACATCACCACCACGGTAGTTACTGTCCCACTTTCCAAGCACACGTGAACCAACCATTACACAATCTATGACAAATAATTGAACAATTACGGTGTACAGTTTATTTTTCAAAATACATGTAATATGTACATTTTGCGGTTTGACTAAGGTTTTATCATTGAATTTTCGATCTGCCTTCAGTTATTTATACCGTGAGGTGCAATTCATAAACACTAGTGCATTTAACGCAAAAAAGTAAAACAAAAAACAAAACAAAACAAAAACACACATACATTCGGCTTTTCAGTGATTTATATATAGACTGCACGAGAAGTGGTCTCAGTTGCTGGTCGAGAGGACTATGAGATGCCTCAAACTTATATTGCACGGTCACTATGAAGACGACTCAATTTTTTATAACTCTTTATTTGTTTAAAACTAAAAGATGTGTTATTGGAAACACCAAATTTAAATTTAAATTACAATTTATATTTATAAGTTTTAGTTAAGATTTCGTGGATCAATATTGCATAGTGGAATTAATAGCATCGAGCAAGCTAAGTCGGTGACTGCTACAAATCATATAAGAATGTGATAATGCATATAATGTAATGATGTACGTTTTAAAATATAGCTGCTGCTGATGCCTTTGTTGTTGTTCATGTTTTTGTTGTTGCTTTTGTGATGTCGTCCAGACCAT